ATCCACCTCGCTCTAGTTCCCTACCAGATTCCCTGGTGGCACAGTTCACGGGCCCATCAGCAAGGTCTATTACTGCATGTGTAGGTGCCAGCCATTTTCATCAATTGCTTTCACCATAGACCGGGGCTGGGTACAAATCATGGAAAGGAGGCACTAACTTAATTAGCTCAGTGTAATCCTTGGCCATCCCCTGAGCCATTATGCTTCTGTATCCTGGAGTTCTCTGCAGAACCTACCTACATTTTCCCCACTCATCATGAACTCAATGGGCTTGAGTTCTGCTCAGACCTACTGCCCAGGGCCCAAAGGGGAAGGTCTTCCTCTCCTGCTGCACCTGCTGGCTTCTTGAGTTAGACAGGCCTGGATTGGCACGGTAGTGGTTGCTTCCTGTTCACCATACCCTGACTGGGCAAACCATCTCCACCCCTGTGGAGGGAGGGGTGGGAGAAATGTACCTTTTCTATTTGGGGGATAATCACCCACCCCCATGACTGGCTTGGTCGTCTTTACCTGTGTTGTTCTATCATCTGTGACTTCTGTGGACTGCTCCTCAGGCTTTAAGGCCATCCAGGTCCTTAGCACACAATTTGGCTTGGCATTAATTTTTCCTTAGGAACTATATAGCTTGACACAAATCCCACCACATTTTGTCTTTGACAACCCGGATTCTTCCTGTTTTGTCTTAGCTCCTGTAGGCTGTGCTCTCACTTTACGAATGCTCCTTACATGCTAGCCTAAGCCACTGATGTCTGCCAAAGCCTTTCCTGCTTTACAAAGAGCAAAGCCAGTGAAGCTCCAACACCAGCCTCGAGGTCCCTGCTGGATCAGCTTTTTCTTTTAACTTTTCTGTGAACATGGTTCTACCTGACCTGATGAACTGGGGTTCAAACACAGCCCCTCTTATTCCTAGTTCCCTCAATAGTGCCTTGCCCCTCCTCTCTGGTCCTCCAGCCGATATTGGTGGGGACCTCAGAAGTAGATAACCAAGTATTCTAATGGCTTTGCTAACCAGTCCACCAGGGACTGGTTCCTCTCACGCTGTCTCAGGCCATGCAGCCTTTGCCTTGAGGGGTAGGATGTTACATTGCTCAGTTTTCCTACCTCCACAGCAGCCAGGCATCTCCTCCCATGTCTCACAGCCTCACAAGCCACACTGCGACAGGCTTTCACTGCTTGTTTAAAACTCTTTCCTAACTTCAGAACTTCAAGTGCTGAGTACTTCCTGATCACCTCAGTTTCTTGTCCTGGACCACTATACAGGCCCCCATCTATGCTGGATCAAATATCTCCCCTTTTTCTGCTTAAGGTCAGACTGGATGGGTGTCTACTGCTTTCACTCTCTCATCCTCCTGTTTAGCTACTTTACTTGCCAGAGCTCCCTTACTGCTTGCAACTGTTCCTTTTGGCAAACTGGTTCCTATTTGGCTGCCATCTTGGCTTCCCATGCATTTTCAAATACATCCAATAGGCCAGGCAACCTCTGTCCCTGCTTGCCAACAGCCTCAACTCTTCTACGCCAATCTCAAAGACTGCAACATTTCCTCTAACCCTTTAACTGTTTCAGGGACTCTGTCTTCTCATGGTGCCCCTGCACCTCCTCAAGCAGGCATGCTGCTCAGCACACAGATGAAGGCCATCTTCCAAACATTCCTCCCACAGACACTCCTAATCCTGATGGCCCAGTGTCGCTGCACACCTCACTACCTGTAAAGAGAATCATGCATCCATGTCACAGCAAAGGCACATTAGCACACACCATACAGAAAAGGACGCTGTATTGGGATTTGCTCTGCAGATGTTCTCCCCAGCAGGCTTCTCGGCCTGTTGCATCCCTTGTTACCCTTAATCAGGGCGCTGCACTTCTTCCTCCCCAGCTCATCTTTGATTCTGACATGTCCCTATAACAAAACTTTTCCTGGGAAGATGCAACACATCTACTGACCCCAGCCCAAAACTCATGACAGACCCAAGTACCGCTAGCACCAAAGTCCAACTTGGTGAACTACTGAGTTTTATTGGGGTTGCTTAGTTTGGTCGAGGGTTTTACTCACAGGAGAAATGACTTAAACACAGCTCCACCACCAAATCCCACCCCAGAAGGGTGATGGCTCACAAAGCTGGGAACCTGGAGCACACTGCACAGCCCACAGGCAGCTCAACACGTTGGGAGTGTCCTTTCCTGGTACCTCAGTTGGTTTTCTAGGCAGCTGGTCTGGTCTGAGTCTTCTTTTCCAGCGTTCCTCCTCTGAAACTGTTTACAGCTCTGCTCCCGTCCCTCTGCTGGGAATTCCTCAGCTTTCATGGGCTATTCTGGTGGGGAGGAGCCCTGTGAATCTGGTCAGTTTGGGGAGCTTCTCAAGGCTATTGAGTTGTTTACCTTCCTGCAGGATGGACTGTTGCCGTATCAGGGAAACTGTTGTACAAGAGCAGGTCGCTATCTAGCTACACATCTTCAGCGACCCTCACTGCACTGGAAGACAAGTCCTGCTCCCCACCAAGCCTGCCTCTCAATTCAGAGAGGGTGCTTCCCTCTCCTCTCCAGCCTCAAGAAAACATCCTGCACTTCTCTTCACCATGTCCCCAAGCTAGATCGTCCCTGACCCTTCCCCCTTCCCTTGCAGACTTGTCATACGTCCTGCAGGATGACACAGGGTTTCTTGTTTCCATCCAAGGAATGCGATTGCCAGAGGACAAGGAACGTTTTGTTCTGTGCTTTGCATTGTGATGTCCGGCAAATGTCTGTCAAATGGATCAAGGATGTGCAACCCTGGACCATATACTGAGCTAGCATCGGCTGTTTCTGTGAAGCCCTGACTCCTTTTTGTTTCACAGCACAAATGCAATAGCTTTGCGTTTTGTACTAAGCTTACTAAGTTGATATATTTTTAAAATGTCAAATTAACTAAGGGTATTTTTTTTAACTACTTGTCTTAGGGAAAGTATCAGTTCACTTAAAAGAAGCTCATGGTTTCCCCTGCAAAAATATCCATTCCAGCCTGTCATGCTTACGTGCAGATTAGTTTTACTTAGGTGCCCACTCAGACACCTGCAGACAAACCTTACTCTCAGAAACTCCAACAGCACCTCTCACTTTTGGTCTCTTGCTTTCTCACACAGAGCTCTGGTGAGAACAACCGAAAATGTTTTGCTTGGCATTTGCAAAAGGGGAGGAGGAGAACCAACAAGGGTTAAGATACATCGATTTTTCACTGCCTTGGGCTGGGGATGTAGCTGAAGGCTCCAGCGTTTGTGTAGCACGCTCAAGGCTTATCGACGAAGGCAGCTCCTCAGTCAGAGCTGCGCCAGAGCGAGCGCCTCAAGTCTCCTGAACAGTGTTACTTCGTAGGGCTCTCCCTCAGTGTAAGATGTTACACACCGGCAACTCCAAAAAAGGACTGCTTAAGTAGCGAATTAGAATGCTAAGTTACCAGAGAAGTGAGACTAGGGACCCTGGTCTCCAGGCAATTTTCCCACAGGCCTACGAACACTGCAAACTAAAGAATAACAATCTCAAATGGCTTTGGGCCGCCAAGATTTAGTGGGAGCGGGAGAGAGTCTGCACTGGTCTGCCTATATCCCTCACAGGCCGCGCCGATGGGTGGGGCTGGCAGGTAGACGTTTCACGGGCCACGCTGATCTTCAGTGGATCCAATCCCCAAGACGTACGGTGGGCAGTGCCTATGTTCGAGATCATTTGACTTAGAGGAACCTCGGCACCTAGAGTCGTGGGGAACTCGGTAGGGGCTACACTCTACCAGGACGTTGGCAGCATCGGCTCTGTGGAGTGCGTGGGGCCTGTTCTGAGCGAGCTCCTCGACTCGCGTGCGCTCTACGGGGCGGGGCCTCGCCAAGTCCCGCCTCCAAAGCGTGGGGTGGGCGGAGTCTACCCCGGAGCTGGCGGCATTTCCCTCGTGCGGGGCCTAATGGCCTGAGGAAACCGCCGCTCGCGCGGTCCCTGGTCTCCTCAGCTTCGCATGAACGTCGCCAAGACCAGGCTTACTGGACACCGCTTTTCGCGCCTGCACGGCTGCAGAATACTTGCCATACGTTTCGCATGTGCATTTCCGCTCCTCACTGTCCTCTGTTCTCCTCCCCGCTCCGGCCCAGCGGCCGCGACATTTCCTCCTCAGTCGTACCCACCCCTTCTCCCCAGTAGCCCCCTTCTCCCCAGTAGCTCCCTTCCTGGTGCCTCCACCAAAACCTTCAGTCCCGGGCAACGCGGCCGCACTCGAGCCGATAGGCACCGAGGGGGTGGGGACAGGCCGCGCAGTGGGCGGGGCGACGCTGCGGAGCGTTAGGGCACGTGGGACCGTATCGGCCAATGGCGTGGCGCCGTTGAGGACGGCGGGGCGGGGAGAGGCCGGCGTGGGGCCGGCGCGGGGCGGGGCCTGTCGCGGGGGCGGGGCCTGCCGGGAGAGGGGCGGAGAGACGCCGCCGCCGCTGCCGCCGCCGCCGCCGCCGCCGCGGCTGCCGCAGCCTCTGGGAGCCTGGAAAAGGGGAAGCGAGAGCGGACGAGCGACTCAGTCCCCGGGCGGCGGCTGCAGCGGCGGCGGCGGCGGCCGGGGCGGCGC